ATATGCACTGTTCAAGCATATTCAGTGACAAGCTCATCTGCCTGTCTGCTCCTTTCTCTTGCAGACAGAGGCATGGTTGCTTGGGAAGGCAGAATAAAGAGGCAGCCCCTATCCTGGTGCCTTTTGCAACTGAAAGGGAACTCTGACTCAGATGCAGGAGCTTCACTCCCATTTGACCCAGCAATACCACTCCTGGGAATATATCCCAGAGAGGCAAAAAAGTATGTTAGAAATGACATCTACACTTGTACGTTCATTGCTGCACTGTTTACAATAGCCAAAATCCGGGAAAAAGCCCGAGTGCCCAGGAACAGATGACTGGTTAAAGGAACTTTGGTGCATCTACACAATGGAATACTATGCAGCTGTTAGAAAAGATGAAGTCATGAAATTTGCATACAAGTGGATCTACATGAAAGTATCGTGCTAGGTGAAATGAGTCAGAAAGAGAGGGACAGACATAGAAAGATTGCACTCATCTGTGGAATATAAAGTAACAGAATGGGAGACTAACACCCAAGAATAGTTGAGATAAGTACCAGGAGGTTTGCTCCACGGCTTGGAAGCCTACAGCACATCCTGAGGGGTTGGGGGGCGGTGGGAAAGCAGCTCAGATGGAGAAAGGAACACCAAGCAAAGGGTGTTTGGAAGATCTGCTCCAGATAGGAGATTCGTGCTGAAAGTAGACTATAAACCGAAGGATGGCTATTCAATACCTCTACTGCAAACTACAGCACCCTAAAGGAAAGATAGAGCAAAAGGAAATGCCCTGCCACAGAGGCGGGGTGGGGTGGACGGTGGGGCGGGGGGGGGGGGGGTTTACTGGGGTCATTGGTGGTAGAGAATGGTTACTGGTGGAGGGATAGGTACTCGATCATTGTATAACTGAAACCCAAGCACGAAAGTTTGTAAGTCTACAACTGTACGTCATGGTGTTTCACTAATAAAAAATTTAAAAAAAAATTAAAAAGATGCAGGAGCTTCAGACAGGCTCAGTGTTGCTGCCCCAACCATAAGATTCCAGCTCACATGGATAAGCATAACTGAGAGCTGGAGGGTGCACACACCACGCAATCGATGCATATTTTCCTGCCCACTACAGACACGTGTATACATCAGGGGACACACACATGCCTCATTCATTTCCACACGTTCAAGCCTGTGCTCTACATACACACCACCAGTGCTTTGTCACAGAATCAGAGACGCACACGGGTGCACATCTCCTTCACTCCTGTGAGACACGAGTGTACAGCTTTCATCCCGCTGAGGTTCTCATAAGCCCCTCGCATGCTCATTGCCACCTGAGCACACGTGTGCATCTGTTAAAATGATGTGGGTAACCCTATGGAGAGCTTTACTAGATCAGGAAATAGGTCCTGGGGGTGATGTGATGTGAAGCTTCATGGGACCGAGATGAGAGTCAAAGTGCAAACCTTGATTGCTTCCCCCAACAGGACTGCCTCTCCTCAGATGTTGTGGGTGAACCTCAAATGAAAATGGAATAAAGAGAAGTTGACTGGACACTAAGCCCTGGGGTCTGCACTTGTGCTGAGCCCGAGGAAGAGTACAATCAAGTTCCTTCCTACAAACAGCTGTCAGCTACCTTCTCACTGAGCTACATACTTAAGAGGAGAATTAAGAGGTGAACTAATTTAAGTGATGCTTAACATGAAATAGATGCACATGTTCTTTTTTGTATGGCAATCCTAGCATCTCTTTATTCAATCTCTTCCCCCGCAGAATGTTCTGAGATAATGAGCACAATTAGAGGTGCTCCCTGGATTGCACTTCAGGGAGGGTTCCCTCAGGAGACCATCTGCTGTAACAAAGTCATGCTAAGCCCTGGGGAGTCAGGGAAGAGTAGAAGTAGATGCCTGGCTCACATCCACTCAAACAGGAGCTTTGAGGGCAATACAACCCTCTTTGCTGTAGGAGCCTGTAGACAGCTGGCACTGGGCACTAGCCCTGCTGTGACAGGTGAGGAGGGCTCCTCTCACCTACCTGCTCTGGATCCTTGCACCTTCCTTGAAGCTACAGGTCCCAATGACCCAATGACAGACCTTTGCCTGGAGCCTCACAGGAACCTGACTGGATTCTTCCTTGAGCTCAGCACAGGTGCACCAAAAAAGAGGTTAGTTTGGTTGTACAGACCCAAAGGCTTCTCTTTATTCTGTTTTCATTTGAAGCTCACCCAAAGCATCTGAGGAGAGGCAGTCCTGTTGGGGGAAGCAATCAGGGTTTGCATTTCAACTCTCATCTCGGCCCCATGCAGCTTCACATCACATCACCCCCAGGACCCTATTTGCTGCTCTAGTAAAGCTCTCCATAGGGCTACTCACCTCATTTTAACAGATGCACACGTGTGCTGGGAAAGAACATATGCACCTGCATGGCGTGTGCACACTCCAGCTCTCAACTCTGTGTGTATATGTGAGCCTGACGCTCATGGCGACCACAGTGTCACCCAGCCTTTCTGAAGTCCCTGCAACTGAACCAGAGTTCTTTTTTTGAGCTGCCTCCTTGTTCTGCCTTCCCAAGCAGCCAATTCTTTGTCTGCATAAGGAAGAATTCAACAGGCAGATGAAGATATCACTCAAAATGAGATCAGCGAATGCAACCTCTGGGAGGGGTTTTGTCTTCCTGGGTTTTTCCAGCTTTGGGGAGCTGCAGCTACTGCTTTTTGCAGTGTTCCTCTTCTTGTACCTCATCACTCTGACCAGCAACGTCTTCATTATCATTGCCATCAGGCTTGATAGCCACCTGCACACCCCCATGTACCTCTTTCTGTCCTTCCTGTCTTTCTCAGAGACCTGCTACACTTTAGGCATCATCCCCAGGATGCTCTCTGGCCTGGTCTTTGGGGGGCAGAGCATCTCCTTTGTGGGCTGTGCTACCCAGATGTTCTTCTCAGCCTTGTGGGCCTCCGCCGATTGCTTTCTCCTGGCTACCATGGGCTTTGACAGGTATGTGGCCATCTGCATGCCCCTACACTACACCAGCCGCATGAGCCCTGGACTGTGTACCCAGCTGCTCAGTGCCTCCTTCCTGGGTGGATGCCTCTTTGGACTTGGAATGACATTGATCATCTTCCATCTTCCTTTCTGTGGCTCCCACGAAATCCAGCACTTCTTCTGTGATTCACCTCCTGTGCTAAGTCTGGCCTGTGGGGACACCAGCTCAAGTGAGCTGGTGGTCCTCCTCCTCAGCCTGCTGGTCCTGCTGACCTCCTTCTCCCTCATCACTGTCTCCTATATCTACATCCTTGCAGCCATCCTGAGGATCCCCTCGGCTGAGGGCCGGAAGAAGGCATTCTCCACATGTGCCTCTCACCTCACTGTGGTCGTCATTCACTACGGCTGTGCCTCCTTTATGTACCTGAGGCCCAAAACCAGCTATGACCTGGAGCGGGATCAGCTCATTGCTGTCACCTACACAGTGGTAACACCCCTCCTGAACCCTATCATCTACAGTCTGAGGAACCGGGCAGTTCAGACCGCCCTGCGAAACACACTCAGGGGCAGATTTCTAGGGAAAGGCTGACGTTTCCCTAGGGCCAAAGCACCGGCAGAATCTGGTGTGGGCTGAGTACCAGCCTCTGTAGCAGTGGGCCTTCCCGGACTCTAGTGTTGCTCTTAGACTAAGGGCAGGACCACCTCTGTCCTTGGCATCTGCCTCCCATCATCAGGATCTGGTCTCACCTCCACAGACATGCCCATAGTCATGACTAAGCCCTAGCAAGAACAAGAGGGGGACATTAGGGAGTTCACAAAGGACATTTTGGGATGCCTCACAGAAAATTCCATCCAGACCCGACCTTGGTGAGTGTCCAGCGGTCAGTCCAAAGCTCTGACTCAGAGCATGGTGATGGTCTCCTCACATTTTCTCTCTTGTCCATCCCATCTCCAGTTTACTGTGACCACTTCTCTTCCAACTGAAGCAGTCACCCTAGTTGGGACATTTGTCTTTTAGTTTCCTTGGTTGCTGGAGTTTCTTTGATCCTGGGGTGGGGTGAAGACTCACCCAGCCTCTCCTCTGTGAATCTCCACCTGCACTTGGGCAGGTAGGAGTGAGGAACCCACGAGCTCAGGAAAAGGTAGGAGGGCAGAGTGCACCTGCTGGGGATGCCAGCCTGAACTCACCTCTGATTCCTGGCCTCTTCCCCTGAAATTGGCTGCACATCCACTAGCATGGTGCTTCCCAAGGTGGGTGACTCCCACCAGCAGGAGTACTGGAACAGTCCAGCAGAGCCGCTGGTATCCTTGGGGCAAGTGGGGCATATTCTGTTTGTCTCCTCAAAGGAGGTATATTTTGGTTGGTGTCTATGGCACCGAGTGTTTTTTTTTCTTTAAAGGGCTAGTGAGCCACCCCAGTTTGAGAACCTATGGTCAAAACAAGCCCTGGTTCCCATGTCCCTTTATACAGACAACATGAAGGTCTCTGCCTGGTGCTACTGGCCTCAGGTAGAAGCAGGTCAGGATGGGGTTCAGAGAAAGTAGCACTGAGCCCTGACCCTCGTGGCCTTTGATTCTTGACACAGTGAAGAGAAAGTGGTTGGTCTCCTTGGTACCACTCACACCAGCTAGAACAGCAGGCAGTCTAATGGGAGTGTCTCTAGAAGATACTGAGGTCATCTGGGGAAGGAGTGCTGGGACCAGGTTGAACACTCACCTTTGGCAGTGAGGGAGGATGTGGCATGCCTTGAGAAGTGAGCAGAGCCTGTTGGGAAGTCATTCAGTAACACACACCCAAAGTTTATTCCAACCCAAAAAAATACGGTGTCACACAGGCAAAGGCATGGCCGAATTCTCCTCCCTGACCAGAGATACCTCCTCTCTGACCTGCAGGCTTTCAAACCTGCACGTACCAACCCACCTTAAGCTTATGTGGGGATGGAGTCTGAGTTTTCTAGACTCAGTTTAACTAACAGCTCTGAGGGTGCATGGAGTAAGTCAAAGCAAACACTGTAGAAGGTTGTATTATTTTATTTTTTCTAAGAAACCACTCAGACAGCATCCTCCTCCTCTACCTCTTCCAAAGGAAGAGAAGAACGATCATCAGTGGTAAAGGGCAGTTCCAAAAGCAGCACCTAGAACCAGCTCCACACTCGGGAGAGGATGCTCTGGCCCTCCTTGTGGCTTGGGTGCTCTACACAATCAGAGAAACTTCTCTAGTAACAAACTACATAAATGATCCCTGAAAGTATAGTCCTGGATACATTATTTTTTTAAACAGATTCCCTTTTACTTGTGGATATATATTATGGAGAGAAAAGCAGAGTTTGGAAGACAAGTGCAGAGCTAGAGTATGTTCTGGGGTGTGGAGTTCCCTCCTTGGGGGGTTGGGGTGCTTATCCGCCAGCCATGATGGGCAATTTGGTGAGCAGAGATCATAGGTTCTGTTTCACAGAAGAATCCTTCCTCACCCCAGTATCAAATATCTTCACTGTCAAGTAGCCCAGGGTCCCACAGCCTAAGAGAAAGAAGTATCTCAGCCCTGGGCCTGACTTCCCAAGCTCTCAGCTGCTAGGACCCTGATCCTCACTCCACACACCCCATAAAAAAGAAGCTCTCCCAAAACAATTTTAATTATTACTATTGGGGTTCTTTTATTATTTTGAGGGCACAGCTGACTATACTGAGGTGACCGTTTGATCACAAGCAATGTCTGTGCCTGCTGAGTCCTCCTTCAGCTCCCAAAATAAATGCTTTAAAAGAAATACTTTTTCCTGTAATCAAATCAAGGTAATAAATATTTGTAGAACTATCAGGTAAACAGACTCAAGATGTAGAATCTTCTTTCTGCTAGTCCTGCAGCACCTTTGCCCCTAAGCTTGGGGTTTTGAATCTTACCACTAAGGTAAAGAAAAAACACACATGTGACCCTCTGTCACCCTCCATATTTGGTTCTCCTTTATCCTGATACCTCTACCCCATGTGTATGTTATCAGGAGAAGCTGTTCTCGGTTTCCAAAGTTGACAACTTCAAATTGGTGAAGTCAACATAGTCGTAGCTGAACACAGGGCCTCAGTCAGGGACTCATATACTGAGCAAGTGCGAAGCACAGAATGGCACCTACTCTGGAGTCAACTCTGAAACCAAGAAAGAAAACACAGTCACAGGGACCAATGATGCAGTTCTGTCGTGTCCTGAACTCAAGATGAGTGGTGATTAGAGAAAGAAGTCAGCCTTATCCCTATGGCACTCCTCATAATCTACAGATTTAGCATATCTGCCCTTCTCCAAGGATGCCCTCACACTTCCCTGCAAGCCCACCCCACTCCCTAAGCCTGACTCCTGAATACACAGGATCAGAAATAGCCTTAAAGCCAAGTGCAGGTTTGGGTTTGAGCCCATGTCTTCAGATTTAAACCTGCTCCAATCAAATCAAAGCTTCCAAAATAAATGTTTCAAAGGAAATACTTTTTTCTATAATTAAATCAAAGTAAAGGTAAAGTAATAGAACCAGCAGGTAAAAACAGACACAAGAGATAGAATCTCCTTTCCTTCAGCCCTGCCAGCACCAAGTTCTCCAGTGACACATAATGGTTCCTATGGACAATGGGTCAGCACACCCTTGCTCCCCCAGAAAAAGACACTCCACCTCTCAGCCCTAGAATTACAGGCCTCTCCCACCCCCACGTCCCTTCTTGGGCCCCCAGCCCCAATCTTTGCCAAAGGCTTAGCTTTCTTTCTCCACAAAGCTCTGGAAACCCATCAACCCCACTGAGTGTGACCCCATCACCCCTCCCTCTGAGTGAGGTCTCAGCACCTCTCTGCCCTGAGGGTCCAGAACCCCAACCCTCCACTGAGGCCCAAGCACCCCTCTCTTAGTGAGACCCCAGAACCTCAGCACTTGCACAGCCCCACCCTCCTATTTGGCCTACCTCTGTTACTTCAGGCTGCTGCTGCAACTGGCCTCACTGTAGGGCTCGGCCTTTGCTGCTGTCCTTAAGATCCAGGACTAGAGCATCCTCTAGGCTCCCATGAGTCCTTGATCTTGGTCAGCCGTCACTTCATTACCTGAATCTCCTTCTGCTTCCTCTGAAAAATACGAGAGATTGAGAACTAGATTCAACTAGGGATGCAGAGAAGAAAGAGAAGTGATGAGCTGGGAACCCTTATTTGTTTCTTTCTCATTGTCTCAAGTATCTTCTGGTCATCTGAACAAGGAGGCAAAGAATAAGGGTCTGAGGGAGGCAAGTGTGAGCCATAAGAGATCACCATCCTGGGGTCCCAGGAAAAGGAGTTCCTTAGGGTAGGGAGACCCTCAGGATGGTGGGCTCCTCAGGACAGGGACCACCTTAGGATGGGAAGACCCTCAGAATAAAGACGCCTTTAGGACAGAGAAGCCCTCAGGCTAAAGAGACCCTTGGAATGACGAGACTCTCAGATGGGAGTCCCTGAGAATAGGAAGCCTAAAGAATTATGGTAGCACCTGAAGTGGTTCCCTGTATAATCTCATTAGTGAACACACCCATTCACTTTGTTTCCAACTGAGATTCTAGAATTACTTTTATTTTGAGCAAAGTTAAGAAGAAAGGGCAACCTGATTGTTCAACCCAGAGGTCATCATTTTATCCACAGGCACACTGAGAGGAGACAGTTCCCAGTCCTCACAGACCCCACGCCTCTATGTAGCCCCAAGTTACGTAGCTGCCCTTGGTGACTCTCAGCCATAAGCAATCAGAGCTGCTCTGAACTGTTCAAATCTTTATGGGAGTAAGAAGGAATAAACATCAAATTTTATGCATTTGTTTGGTTTGCTTTGGGCCACAGAGAGCAGTGCCCAGGGATTACTCCCAACTTGGTGCTTAAGAGACAATACAGTGCTAGGAATAAAACCTAGAACTCCATCATGCAAAACAAATGTATCCAGTTGTTTGAGCCATTTTCTCAGCTCATGATACAGAATTCTTTGTGCAGAGCAGCATGTCTTGAACCATAAGAGCTGATATTATTTTGGACCAGTATCACAGGTTGCAGGGAAAAAAATGAGAGCATTAAGGCCTGGATGCTGTAGGCACATGATGAGGGGAGAATGTACTGTGTGAAAACAGATGTAGGAACAGAGAGCAGCTCCTTCCTAGCATGGGGATAGCTGGATCCAGAGGCTCACACATGTTTGTGCAATGGGAGACCCCCATCCCGCCCATTTGTGTTATGTCCTCTGTTGATCGGGCACCAATGCAGGGAGAGGAGGATTGAGGGTCTCAGATATCTCCAAGACCCAAAATGTACCAGAATTGTGTTCAAACTCTTGGCACATCTCAAAGTTCTTCACCTATCTTGCCCTTTCTTTCTCAGCTACTGCCCTTACTTCTACATCAAACCAGACATGGCACACATGGGTAACTATCAGTCATCATGAAAAGACAAGCTCCCAGGCTCAGCTTTTCCCTTTTTGTGTCCATGATCAAGAAAATTATAGAAAAATGTTAATGACAAACCCATGAAGAAACCGTGAAGGTGTTTTTAAGTAAGAACAACACGATGGGGGTTGTACAGACTGTGAACAAGGAAATTTCATGAGCTTTCCATGCATCTCTAGAGATGCTTCCTGGGCTTTGGGTCAGCTTCCTGAGTCGCAACTCAATGCCCACAAGACTGCCTTACATGCAAGTCAACATAGCTCATCTTTCCCTTTGTCTTCATCCATGACGTTTGTCCCTGTATGATTCCAAGTGCTATTCATTCCCTTCTCAAAGCCTCTCCTGCTGGAAGCTCACAGGCTGGCATTTAATCTCATTAGTTGGATCACAAGAATGAGGCCACCTTAATGACATCAGGCGAGTGTTTCCAGGTTCTGTATGTCATCTCCATGATTAACCAAGTATGGGGGCTGGAGGGCTTCCTCAAGGCATTGGTCTATCGATCCAGTTCCAGCAAGTTACCAAAGTTAGCCTGGGACACTACTAGGGAAGCCAGAACAGCTTCACAGTCCTTCTGCAGCTGCCGGATCTTGTTCAGGGAGATGCCATGCACCAGCTTTCTCAGGTTCTCCTCAGTGATCTCATACCATCGAGGAGAGCAGAGACCTATGTGCAAATTTCATGAACAGCTTCTCAGCCTGCAGCGCAAAAAGGAGGCACTATTGTTCCAACAGCACCCTCGACATGAGCTAACCAACCCTGAGGTGTGGGTCTCCAGGGCAGACATGCAGACACAACTAGAGCTGAGAATTGACATATGCATTTGTAGGTGATGACCACTGGAGCCAGTAATTATAAGATCCTCAGAGATCCCTTTCAATACTCTCTGTTTCTTATTCTAACTCTGTGTTCCACTCAGCCTGACACCCAGTTAATAGGCCATGTTAACTGTTCTATATGTGATTGTAAAATAAGCCTTTGAATGAAGGACACCCACACCCCTTGTCTACTGGACCATCTCCAGGGCTTCATCTGTCTGTGATGATCTAAATAGGTTCTCCAGTATATTTCTTGGCCACCTGAGCTGAGAGGCAGGAGCAGTGCCTGGTCAGGACTCATCAACTTTCTCTTTCTGTCTCACCTTCTATAGGCGTTCTAGTCCCTCCAGTCTGTAGGAGTCTTAGGATATCAGTGGTTTCTTTCAGTGACCTATCAGGGGAGCTTGGCAGTCCTCAATGGCTTTGGCCTTGTTCTAAGTGTCTGGCAACTTGTCCCTTAGGTTTGTTGTCTCAGACAACCTCTCCTGCTGAAAGCTCACAGGCTGGTATCCAGCATGTTCTGAGAAATACCTACAGAAGTGCTGAGTGATGAAGAGCAAGGATCCAGGGTCAGGCATACCTGGGCTATGAGCACAGGAAAGCACAGGAAAGGGTTGTAGTGAAGATTGAGGAAAATAGCAGCCAAGGAAGATAGTGGGCAGGATTGTGGCTATATCTAGGCAGATGCAGTTCACCTTAGGTTAGTTGTGAAATTCTGGAGCATGACAACATACCGCAAAAACATCTGGTATGTAGCCTGGGATCTTGACAAATTTCCTTATGCCATATACCACCCTGGATTCTGATTGGGTGATGCCACCTGCATGCCCAGAGGTGTGCAAACCAGCCAAGCTCCCAAAGTCCAGCACACATGCTGTTATGAACAGGTGCTAATCTCAGAATTAAAACTGGGGATGTGCCACATACAAGTGGAGACCAATAGGGCAGCTGGTGTGTGACTAACTGTCCTTCAGATAATGACTTTCTCCATTGAATAAAAGTGCAAACACAATCCCTTGAAA